AGACCACATTGAATAGCTTGTAAAGATTCCTTCTTAAGCTTAAATTCTATGAGGTCCAATAATTAGTGACCGACAAAATTTAGCCTACATATTTCCCAATAAGAATTTCTTTTCCATATGCTCAATTCAGAATTCAATGAAGACATATTTCCCAGTTATTGACAATGAGAAGCTAGTTTTATTTTCTGTGTATATTTCTGGCATTCATGAGGTTTATACATCATGTGAAATGCGATAACAATGCAAAAGCAGAATCCCTTCTTTAATAAGAGCACTTAGAAGCTCAAGAGAACTTACCACTTCATGAAGACATTCTCTACTACTACTGCATGGAGTATCAATGTGTATGCTGTGAAGTGGATGTGTCACAGCAAGGAGCAGAGTGTCCAAAGGGAGACTTCGTCTCAAAGAAAAAATAAACTGCCAATAATTATTGTCAAAATATTTTTTCCGTTTTATTTAACAAGATGATTCCGAATGTACACCTTTTGTTTATGAACACAGTGTAAACTATTTAATCCCATCTTCATTTTAGTCTAGTTACTAAGTAAATTTGGACATGATTAATTCTGTTTTATCCCAAGAATGTGATTGTGCTTCAGCAGATTGGCGTGTCTGAACACGCAATGATATTTCACATGCACAGAAGTCTCTTCTGTGAGGGACTGGCATCTGTCTCTACTACAATCAGGCCAGGCTTTCACAAAGACAACAATAAAAAAGCAGTGCTTGTTGTGTGTGATAGAAACATGCAGGCCACAACAAACGATATTCTTTCATGGAGTTATTAATTTATGAACACATTTCCACATGCAAAAATATCCTTCTACCACTACATATGGTATCATCTACTTTCCTCCCATGTAATGTGTGAACTCGAGGGTCTCTGTTTGAGGACAAGGAAATACATCTGTACACATCAGCTCACAGATCTGCAAAGTATAATCCACAGTGTCTCTGAGAAAGAACTCTAGCCCTTAAAAAGGGTAATGTCCCTTTTGAGGAGTATATAAATGACAACTATTTTTGTCAAAACATATTCTTCATGTGAACATATATTTTACACAATTATATTTTTACCCAAAGAATATACATTGGAAAGAATATTAAAGCATTTATTGACATTCTTGAAAGTTGGTCTTTAATCATTAATTTCCAGACCAAATATAATACACTGCAAAAAAATGGCCTTTGCGGATGACCCTTTCATAAATCAATAAATTAATATTTTGATATTTATAGAGTCATATGGACTCATCCAATCAAATCTTTGAACTGATGGCTCAACAGAGACAATGGGAACATCAAGAGAAGAGAAACCTTCTTTGACCTATCTAACTAAATGTCATTTTGTTTCATTGAGCAGCAATTGTATTCAGTCATACAAAATTTACCTCACATGATAAAATGACAGTATCAACCTGTGGAATGACATGACATGACATGACACCTATTGATAAAGTGTTTTATAGAGCATCTACACTTCAGTGAAAATTGTAATATTTACTAGAAGGGCTCACAGCATGCTTATAAAACACAAATACATAATGTTATAGCAAAACTCCTTGAAATAACAGAACAATTTGTTGCAAAAAGAAATGAAAATTCAGGACACATAATACTCCAAGTGAGGCATACTCTGGGGAAAGGGTACTAGTCATAATGCACAGAAGACTATTCTCTCCAAAAGTGACTCACAAACATAAAAATAAAATATTTCATATTCTACACTATATTACAAAAATAAATATGTCAATCAATAAATAGTAGGAAGCCTAAAAACCTTTACATGATGGTTTTGCTTGTGGGCTGCCTCTGCTACAATTTGCCTCAGGAGTCATTAGCTGTATCAACTACAATGACCATAATTCAGCTAAACGATAAAGAAAGAAAAGACAAGTATGGACCAGAGTGAAACCTCTATGACCAAAAAATAATAAGGAAGTTCTCCTTTCCTAAGGATCCAACTCTTCACTAGCTTCATGTTGAGGCAGAGAAGTAGAAGGGTTGCACGTGTGCTGTTGAAACCGTGCTTCTGTTTATGGTTTGTATCATTTGTTTTGTGATAAGAAGAAAGCATGAAATCATAATTCAGCTAGCAATACTTCAATAAGTAATCTGTAATTTTTCTATACCCATTTCTAAAGAAGAACATCACAGAAATGCAGGCTGATATCTGGGCAGGGTGAATAGAAAAACATCTGCAATATGTACAACCTAACTGCAGGCAATCAGGATGGCCACCTCTCTTCGATAGCAGAGTGATTACAGATGTGCAGGACAAGGTTTCTCCAGCAGCCTGGTAGAACCAGGTGGGGCACAGGTGGCAGGTGGCACCTCCAGCATCAGCACTATGTCAAGAGCACTGCTAGGTGTTCAGGAAGTTTGCAAGCCAAATGTGCATCACACTGGTACCTTGCAGTGGGCCCTGGTAGGACCATGTGCAAACGTACAAAGCAGGGCTTTTCCCCACATTGGACTGAAGGCTATAAAGCATTTATCAGCACACCATTATCTTATAAATATATTACACATAAAATAAATAAGAGCTACCAGAAATGATCCTGTTTAGCTGAGATTTTTACTGTATGGCTATTGAAGTGTCCTTTGGAAAAGGTAAGTACCGTGGAATCTATGAATATATAGGGTGTACCATGAAGTATAAAGGATGTACCATCTTCTACTGAGGGCTCCCAGTATGTCTAGTGATGCAAACATAGTACATGTGTGTACTCATCCTCATCATAGACTATGAAGGCTAGCCTAGAAATGAAGGATTTGGAATTGCATGGCCATCTCCAATTACCACCCGTGTGTTCCCGGTGATGGTTGAACTATCACTCTTCCAGGATAATGGATTCTCTAAGACTCGCCTTCTGGGCACCAGTGTATGTTTAGAGCTGAGGTTCAAATTCAGTTCAAGACAGTTTTCCTTGCCTCTGTTTTCTAGAGCAGCATAAGCTTATAACCCTATGAGTTTCATGCAATAAACCAGCAGGTTTTATTTTTATGGGAGGAGAACAGATTTCATAAGAAAACATTTAGCAGGAGTCAGGAGTGAGGGGCAATGTCCTAGAAAACACATTCCTGATTCTAGAATCATTCCTATTGCCTGACTGGAGATTCCCAGATGGACTGAGGCCTGTTCTGCTCTGGTTCCTCCAACAGAGGCCATGATCCTGAATGGGGGCACTGAAACTGCAGCCACGCTCAATGTTCATCTAAATGAACCCTTAGATATGTATTTTAATGTTTTTTTCTTTCATGCATTTGTTTCTAATGCATTTATAAGAGTATCTCTTTGTTGCTTTGTATGTCCCTCCCCCACAGTATAACCCTTGCTTTCACTATATTTGATGTCAGTATAACTTGTGGAGGAGAAGGGGAAAAACAAGTCGTTTAAGGATACAGGTGGACCTGTTGCAACAATGAGAAGTACAAGTTGTCATGTCCAAAACGAGCTTTACAATGTTGGTGCGGGAGGGGGGGAGGAGGAGGGGGGAGGATTGGAGGGGGGGGTTGGGGGGAGGCTGGGAAGGGATGTGAAGGGTAAACAAAGGAGGAGGCTGCAATGCTTGATAAGAAATGTACGCATTATCCTGCCCATGTAATTGTAACCCCTCTGTACAGTATGTTCACAAAAAATAAAATTAAATTTAAAAAATGTTCATCTAACTTCAGTGGCCTGGTAGACCGCTCCTGTAAGGGACACTTCCTATACCCTCAGCCTTGGTCAACTCCAAATGAAAACTTACAGCATTGGAAAATTGGAATTGCTGTAGTGTTTTTACCATGAGACAAATTCAGTTTCAAAATTCAAGCTTAACTTTCAAGTCATTGGTTTGCAAAATTTTCCATTAATTCGTGCACTTAAAATGTATTTTTTGGACTCTGATCTCCTTTTCTTATACTTAAGTATTTTTCATGAGAAATCCCCATCATAAAGGATCTTAGTAAAATAAAATCAAATTACACATTGGGGAAAGTAAAAGAAATATCAGATTAGTACCTCTTTATCCTGATTGAAAATGCTTTTAGGGCTCCCCTGATAGCCCACAGCTTGGAGGCAGGGGTCCCAGGAAAATGGAGAAATATGTGAAGCATGAGGGTAAGGAAGCCCAGACATGGGCAAGAATGAAAACAAAAGTAAAGCAGCAAGGAAGACATAGTATGACGTGAAGAAAAATATGTTAAAGAATAATGAGTTCAACAAACAGGCCCCTTCTGATTTTCCTCTTCTTGGTCTTTGATTATTTTGTTTTTTCCAAAAGATTGAATTCTTTCCTTAGAACAGCTTATGAGTTTACAAATATATCTGTAGCCTTCCTCCTTTCTCCCTCTTCACTTCTGTCCTTTGCAGCCAAAAAATGCTTTCGGTTATCTGAGGGGCAGAGCTCATCCTGAGTTCCCTTTTGGCTTCCTTTCCTCACCGTCCCCTGCTTTCTACAATACATAACCCTCATGGGCTCATTGCTGTTGGCCCTCTAGGACCACTTTCCTTTTCAAAACTGGTTTCTATGACCACCCCTCCCATGCATGCATCCTCCTTTACCAGGCCTGCAGCTCTAAACCATAGCAGAAACTCAAATAACAAAAACTACACTGGAATGTCCAGAGAACTTGGGAAACGTAATGTTAGAATTCTTAAATTCCCAAATGTAATCCTAGAACTCTTAAATTCCTAATGCAAATTTTCATGACTTAAATCATCAGAGATGACTGAACACATGGCATTAGCTTTTAATATATTCACATTTCAGTGAGCCATGCATGTATTTGAGTATAACCTGCTTCTGTTGAACCAAAAGATGCTCATCAGTTCATGCACATACATATAGACATACGCAAATTTGTGTGTGTAGATAGCATATTTTTGCTTAGGGGTTGCTGTTTTCAAATTGTTGTGAAAGATAAGTAGTGTGGGCCTGCCATTTGCTGTTAAATGTAGCATTGTCAGGAAATGCAAGCCTAAGAAAAACAGACTGGAAGACTGGATAGCTAAATATGTTCTTCCTGCAACAAACTCACTTGTCCATTTCCCAAAGGCAAGAAGCCTCTATTATCTGTACACCCTCATTAAATAGTCTTATTAAATAAACACAAAATATACACATTTACAGTTATTAAATAAGTCATAGGATTCCTCTTCTATCTACAGCCACATTCAGAGACTGCCATGCCTTCATATTTGAACTTGTAGGTGACAACACCTTTGTCTAAATAGAGGATGGAGATGGGCTCCAGCTTTGTGGGCACACAGCAAGCTTTGGAAGCTTTCTGGGAATTCTTGAGGTGAACTAAGGCCTGGATAATCGCATGCTTTGTGGGTGTGAGATGCTCTGCTAGAGGATAATTACAAACACCACGGCATTCATAGGCTTCATATCCAGGAGGAGCAATGATCCAGGAGTCCCAGCCAATCTCCTTGAAGTCGATGTAGAGCGGGGTCTTCTTGCAGTAGTTTCCTTTGGCATTCCTTCTGATTCGAGCAGTGGAATCATAGATGATGTTTGACCTCATCTGCAGCAGAGCCTCTTCTCCTGGTTCTCTGGAAAAGTCATCCACATCCAAGTTGTCCATCTCCAGAAGTTGCTCGTGGGTGATCATTTCATTCATTTCTTCCTTTCTCTCCTTGTCACTACTTTGGTCATCAGAAAACACAACAAGCAAAGGGTCATGCTTATTCTGAGTACTGGTGTCTATTTCCAGCTGTCCTCTTCCAGCATCCTCAAGTTGGTCTTGAGTGCTCTCAATGTGGACCTCCAGCTGATGAGTGGAAGAGCCTAACTTTTGCCAACGTCTGACGGCATCTGTGATATCAAATGTCTCCCACTCACTGTTGAGTTCATAGACCTCCCCTGACACTAAGACCAGCATGCTTCTTTCATCTGTGTTGTCCCCTTCACTCGGTAGCACTTCAAAAATAGTAATTTTTCGCTCCACTCCATCATACATCAGGCGATCTCTCTGCACCAGTGTGTACAACCTGAGTTCTGCCATCATGACCTCTTCATGGTGAGGGATAGACACATTGAAGAGGAGAGGGTATTTTCGGAGCCCATTAATACTGACTGGTTGAGAAAACAGATCTGAAATAAAAGAAAGATGTACAAAAAAATCAAACTCCCAGTATGTGGCATAGAAATCCAGGTGGCTAGTTATGTAGGAAGAGAGCTAATCCATGCAAGTAGCTTGACGGTGGATGAGAAGAGAGGACCAATGAAGACAAACAAAATGTTAGCATTCTATGACACCAAAATATGATGAAGAATTGATATTAGAATACTAAACTGCATTATGATTGCAAAACTAACATCGAAAATGAATGCCAAAGGGTTAGAATTTTTTTTAAAAAAAGTGTTCAGCCTTAACTGAATATGTTACCGAAGAACTGGATAGAGATTGGCAGATGATCCCTCTATTTTTCTACCTAGTAATGTTCAAAAGTAAAAGGAATTTTATTTTTTGTGGGGCTATTACAAAAGGAGTTGCTTTCCTGATTTCAGCCGTGCTTTTCTCATTGTTGGCATACAGAAAAGCAATTGATTTTTGAGGGTTAATTTTATACCCTGCTACTTTGCCAAATTTTTGAATCAGCTTGAGTAATTTGGGAATGGAGTCCGTGGGATTCTTTAAATACAAGATCATGTCATCTGCAAAGAGAGAGAGTTAAACTTCATCTTTCCCTATTTGGATCCCATTTATGTTTGCATCTTGTCTTATTGATGTAGCTAGGCATTCTAATACTAGATTGAAGAGAAGTAGAGAGAGTGGACATACTTGTCTCATTTCTGAGTTTAGAGGAAATGGCTTTAGTTTTTCACCATTAAGTATAATGCTGGCTGTAGGTTTGTCATATACAGCATTTATTGTATTGAGCAATGTTCCATGGTTCCCTAGTTTTTTCAGAGCCTTCATCATGAAGGGGTATTGGATCTTTTCACTGTATTTGGTGTTGGTATAATATGGGAAGGGGAAGAGGCAACAATGCTTGGTAAGAAATGTACTCATTACCTTGCTCATGTAATTGTAACCCCTCTGTATGGTATTTTCACAATAAAAAACTTATTAATAAAAAATAAGAAAATGAATAAAAATTCTGAAGTTACAATAAAAAAATAAAAGGAAAGTATCAAAATGGTCTCTCCAAAATGAGGAAAAATCCAGAGTTGGGTAACCTTAGTGGCTATTTTATACTTACTATTTCTTAAAATAGTTAAGGGCTTATCCCTGTGGTGAAGTTATATGGAATGTAATGATTTTGCATGTTTTATAGTTGCTTCTAAGTACCAACAAAAATCATCTTGCACACTGGAGGAAGAAATTTTGACCTATGGACTAAATTTAAATTCATTGGCCTGGTTCTCCTGATCAACTATTAATCACATCTTATTTAACCTCTTGATACAAGCACAGCTCCCATTCAGACTTTACAATGCAGAGAACATTTCAAGCACTCAGTTAATGTTTGTTGACCAGCAGAATGAAGCTGTAAACCCATCTATGAAGATTAATACCTTCACCTTTTGCAAAAACATGATTCAGACTCCCTGCTGTGTCTGAACCTACCCTGAAACCTCCAACAGAGACAGACCTTCAAAGCTATTTATTAGTTGCTGATTCTGCCTTTCAGGTATATGTCCTTGAAATGTCATTAATATTTTGGGTTAAAACTGCAGTAGTTTGGGAACTATCCACTCAGCATAAGAATAGAGGACACACTTGGAGAAAATTATATTAAGTGAAGTAATTCAGGCCCAAAGAAACATAGGTCCCATCGTTTCCCTTATTTGCAATAACTAGTGTATGTCTGAGACAAGCAGAAAAGGTCAGATAAGATGATGTTAAGCGAAATGAACCCCAAGATAAAGACACAAGTGTTTTTTTTTTTCTTCTTGCTATTGCTTCTAATGTATTTATAAGATACCAGGTGGTTTTTTTTGTTGCTTTGTATGTCCCTCCCCCATGGTATAACTCCTGTTTTCACTGTATTTGATGTTGGTATAATTTGGGGAGCAGAAGGGAAAAAACACATTATTAAACAGGGATACAATGAGATGCATTGCAACAATGAGATGTACAAGATGCTATATAGAAAAACGAACTTTACAATTTAGGTGGGGGGTGGGGGGCGAATATAGTTGTGGAGATGGGAGGGAAGGGATGGTAGGGGAAAAACAAAGGAGACAACAGCGCTTGATAAGAAATGTACTCACTACCATGCTCATATAACTGTAATCTCTCCTCTGTATAGTACTTTCACAATAAAAAACTTATTAAAAAAAAGAATAGAGGACACACTACCTTTGGATAAGGAACTGGAGAAGACCAAAAATGGGAGAGTAACTGGGCACAGGTGGCTCATACCTATAATTCTAGCTACTCAGGAGCCTGAGATCCAGGGGTTGAAATTCAATCAGTTTGGGCAGGGAAAGCCATGACACTCTCCAAATAACCACCAGAAAGCCAGAAGTGGAGCAATGGCTAAAGTGCTACAACACTATCCTTGAACAAAAAAGCTCAGGATCCAGGCCCTGAGTTCAAGCCTCAGCACCCTACCCACCTCTCCCCTCACCATAAAGGAGAGGAGGCTGATAATCCCTCCAGGAGAAAAGTGCTCACTGCAGTGGGAGAAAGGTTACAAAGGCAAGGAAGCACTTGGTAGAAATGAATACATTCCCTATTTTGAGCCTGATGATGGTTTCAGTAGAATCTTATACATATTAAAACTGATCAAATCATACACTTTCAATGCATAGATGTCTGCAAAGGCAGACAGTGCCCAGTCTATACAAATTCCACACATGAGATGCTTTTCAAATGTCTTGTATGATTCTTACAATGATCCCACAATGCATGTTCATTTTGTATCAGAAGAAATCCTACACACACACACACACACACACACACACACACACACACACCTGATTTCCCAGATGATAACAGAAGGGTGAAATAAACCTAAGAATTGAAGGCCTGCTTTTCCCACCTTGGATGTGGCCCTTGTTTCCTCAGATGGAATAACAAGCTTGAAGGCTTTTTGGTCTTTATCTCCTAGGGGAGCTGCACTGAGCAGACTCAACCTGTCAAAAGAAAGTTAACAGCAGCTGCCAGGGTGAGCCTAGTGAGAGGATACATGTCCTTGAGCTGCGCATTTCCTCCCACCAACTTGAAGAGGTACATGGGCTGCATGGTCCAGGGAAGCCTGATCCTGACCTAGAGATCTCCGGTACTAGCAAGCTTGGTGAATTCCACACCCTGACCTTCATAGACGAAACAAGCATGAATAGCTCAAACCTGAGCTATGGATGGAAGGCTCAGCAGAATGAGGGAGGCTTCCCACAGGTGGAGTTTACATTCAACTCAGTCTTCCCTCCAAAAGAAATCTGTAATCTTAGCTTGCCTTTCCCATTAGGAATGCACTACTGAATAGAAATTTTGATGGGTCATTTATTAAATCAAATTAAAATTGAAAGAAAATATTGTCTTGAGGATTCAAAGATACCTACTGCCTAGAATATTAAACAACATGATAGCCATTAAAGTTTCTTTAGCACTGAGTAGTCTAATTCCTTCTTACTGGTATTCTCTTATGATTTAGTCAATGTATTATGTACATATCGTTGCTCCCATGTTACAGGTGGGGATAATGGAGGCTCATATATTTACCAAATGTTTATCCAAACTTCCCAAGTCAGCCAGCTCTCAGAATCTCAAGTCCTGACCAGTTTCTTTACCAGTGTTTTTCTGCTTTCAATATTAGTCCAAACCTCTTTTATGCCTGCTTAAGGCATAAATGGTAAATAATTTTTAAAATAGTTTATTTGAACCCACAGCTTCTACCACAGATACCAGAAATTTTTTTCCTACTAGTCCCACATTAAAAAGGAAAGTCTAACTTACTAGCTTGTTAGGTCTAGTTACTGAATCGAAAGTTCATGCCATGCTCTTCATAACGGCATAGAAACAATCATCTGAATCATTGATTGTGTTGTTTATGCTTCCTGAAAACTGACTATCTACCCTGATGCATCAAGGATAACACAACCTTTGGAGGAATTTCTAAAATGTAAGTTTCTATTCTCCCTGAACATTTCTTAAACAAAATCACAAGTTAGAAACTCAGTGTCTAACCAAAAACACAGATCTCTAACTTCCCCCACCCACCCCCATCCCCCCGCCCCTTCCCTCTCTTTCCCATTTTAATTCTAAGTAGAAGCTGGTGGGTTTTGCGGTCAATTAAAATCCCAAATGAAAACCTAGGCCTAACTGGAAAATGGCAAACCTATCACAGCAGACCAATATTTTTCTTTGATTTCCAGATTAAACACTTTGTAAAGATTCAATTAATTGAATGTTTTTAGGCCTTTCATCCATATGAATCATTTTAGAACAAGATGTTCATTGTTTCTGTGTCTGTGGGATGGATTCATCCTATTATCTTCAGGCATAAATTTGCTTATTGTTTCATGAGAAAAATCCAAGCCAGAGACTATCAAAGAAAATGCAAGCTTACCTTCATTCTTGAAGCTCCTGATAATGTTGGCAGAGGGAACGGAGGTCCTATCTGTGGCGAATTTGTTGTAGAGTTCCAACATGTATTCTGGTGGGTCAACCTTGGCTGAATCCTGCATGGGAATGTCAGACAGGTTCAATGTCTTGAGAAACTCATCCTTCATGCTCTGTAGAAGTGTGTTAAAGTCAACACCATCTTGCTCTGAGAAGACATCTTCAAAGAGGGGCATATCTTCTTCTAGGGGTGACTGATCAAGGCCTATGATGGGACTACCAGAAACAGAGTGAGTCACCAGGCATAAGGCAGCGCTCAGCTGCAGGACCAGAGAACCCATGGCTCTGCTCAGGCCTCCAGGCCAACCCAGGAAGGTTTAGCTCTCCTGGCCTCTAAGTGGCAGTTTTATCTTGCAGGGCGTAAATGTCTCGTGTCGCTGGAGACAAGTTTGGAAACTCTTCCTCTCTTTCCCCCTCCCCCTGCCATCTTCCTCTCTAAACCCCCTCCTCTCCCTCCAGCAAGTCAGGTTGCAGTAATTGGATAACAAAATCCCTTATAGGGGCCTAGCCTTTCTTATCTCCCTAGTATAAACTTGTTCACCAGATTTTGTTTTTATCTCACAATCCCTTTTTCTCTTAATGAGCATTTTGTAAACATTTCCACATTCTGACACTGGTTGAGAGATAGGGCACTTTTCTCCTTGTGAAGCTTCTGCTACTCTTCCTTTTAATTCATTTCCTTTTGGCAAAAATGCCAAACTGCTGCTTTTATGGGGTTCATTGTCATACATGGACACAGTAGATGCCCAGAAATAAATATAATATTCATTAGTGGTAATATATGCCAATTCCAGTCATGGGGCTTACATCCTCAAATACATACTCCTGAATAGCCAATATTTTTTTCTGGTAATTGAATTGATATAATTTTTTTGATGCGTACACTTTTAGAACCAAGACAAGTGTGAGATTCATAGCCAATAGCCTCTGTCCTCCATATTTGATCAGGATAACATGACATTTTGAAAATAAAGTAAGTGCTTAATTATAATGGCTACTAAAGTTTATTAGATGCTTTCTTCTTGAATATTTTACATATATAATCTAATGTCCTTCTAATAACTCTATTCTTATTCCCATCAGATATTTGGGCCATAAAGTTTCAGTTACATACAAGTGATAGAACAACAGATTGAACCCAGGTGAACTGACTCTTAAGACAAGAATGTGGTCCTGCTTGTAAATAATTATTCCCTTGCACAAGGGCATGGGTAATAGTGTCAAAAGGCTAATTTATCGCACAACAGCACTGCATTGTGAAGGAACAGTAAGGAAGCAGGTAGAACTTTGCAGCTGGCTGTAAACCTCAGGTCCTTTGTCTATGTACTCACTCATTTATAGGACCCAAATCTCTGCCAAATTCAGCTTCACAACTAAATCAGATTGCTCATCAAAAGACTCTATCAGCAATGCTACTAGGCTTATGACAAAGGCCAAATGCCTCAGCCTGGGGAAAATCTTGTAGAACCGATTGTCTAATTTAGAGAAGACAGATTGTCTCATCACTCTGTCTACCCTCGTGGATGGCGGTAACAACTATAGTGCCATTATGGGGACCAGGAAACAAGTGTGTAGGATGACTTTACTGCTAGAGCAGTGACACTGATGCCTCTTCTGTCTTGATTGGTACACTGCCTCTTCCCCACCCAGACAGCTTGATGCTGTGTCCTCAGGACTACATCTGGATATTTGCTACACTGGGATACTGTCTAATTTCAAAGGGAAATGTTCTTACAGTTACATTTTTTTTCAGGCTCCCCTAGGAGTCTAGTCTCCTTCTGTTTCTTTGCTCCTAACATGTAAAATTTGAGTTGCTACAGAAATATATTTCATTTAACCGCTTGTTCATTGTGCATTTGACTAGTAGCAGGTGCTGATCTAATGTCTATTCTGATGAAAAAATTTGCTTCTATCGTAAAAAGACAATTGTAGACTAGATGTAGATGACAGCCTGAATAGGCCCATTCGTGAGTAGTAAGGCCATTATGTGATATAAGGGTGGTACATTTTAATATGAGATTTCTGACAACTTGCCAGCAAGACCCCTGTATCAGGTCCTGATCTGAACAAGCACCGGTTTATCTTCATATGCAGAGATGTCAACGCACACTCCAAAACTCTGAATGGCAGGCATGTGCATGAGCTGCCACACGATGAGAGAGCAAGTGCTGGTACTTACAGCCCCCAGTGCAAAGGTTTCAAAGGTCAGGAAGAGAGACATGCATCTTGTGTTGCAGAGTTCTAGTACTTCACATTCTTGAACTGAATGAAAAATGTAATGGAGATGTCACTGACATCCCTATACTTGTCAGAGAAACTATAGACAAATATTTGGGTCACTTCATCAAAATCTTTAAGTTTTAGGTTGATTGAAAGATAGAATAGAAAAAATGATTATAACAACATCTTACCACCTACAATATCTTGAAGTGTTTGGTCAAGGTTCTTAACGCCACACATGTTCTGGGATGATGAAGCAAGAAGCTGAGCTTTGTCTGTGCAGGAAGGAGAAACAAGCATCCTTCCCCTTCTGAGTTTTACTGCAGGTTTTCTTTTTCCCATGCTTTTCTCTAGAAAGCTTTTCCTAATAACTCCCATGTGATGCTACAATGTCCAAGTATCTTTTCATTCTTTTCCCCATCTTGATTTTCTATCCTACTATTTTACTGATGCGCTCATTCTTTTAGATCTGACCCATTTGAAAGGTGTCACTATTTATCCAAAGTCACTGAATGAAGATTACTATGTTGCTGAACCAAATGCAGTAAAGGTAAGTGGTAGCAACTTAAGGAAACTCACACATGAGAGAACAAAACACTAATTAGATCATTGCTTTTCAATCCTGCTGCAAAATGCTCTTCAAGTTTAGGGCCAGTTTTCAAAAATGAGTTTCCTAACTAAAGGATTTAACATTGATCTTCCTTGGATTCTCAAAGGGATCTATGATCCTATCCAGACAAGGTTGAAAGCATTAGACAACATCCTTTGGAACTCTGCTATTCTCTTTGAGGCTTGGTAAGAACAAATCTTAAGTTTCCTTGATTGACAAGAGGCCAAGAAGCCATTGTACACAACTCTAGGTTGTTGAAAGTGCTTGCATCTTATATCTTACTTCAGGACATTACATTATTTTTACTGCCTACTTAGAAATTATTGAGACTTTGGGGGGACATCCCAAAGATATTCTCTGAAGATATTCTCTATGAAGGGCAGCCAACTGGAAGCTTCTGTTGTAATGGGAATGCCACTGCTACAGTCACAGGAGCTGCATGTAAACACCTTCCAAAAAGGTTCAGCTCAAGAACTAAAATTTTCTTTATTGTAAAAGCATTTTAATAATTTTAATTTTAGAAAATTATTCCAGATACAATGTAACACATTTATTATTTACCTTTTAGCAAATTTCAAAAATAGCTCTAAAAAGCTGCTTTTGTATAGGTAGTGGATAAAAAAAAGTATTTGAAAGGACATTATGAGTATTTTCACATGTGAACACTAGGTATGTATCATGAAAACTGGGACATGCTCTGATTAGTCCAAGATGGCATAACTATTACCACTGAATAGAATGACTGATGTCTACCTTAGTTCAGTATGAAGAGCAGCTTTTAAAACCATCAGTTCTTTCCAAAAGGAGAAGAAATTAGTTCGTATTGTCATAAACTCAGTTACTAAATGTTTAAGCTAGAAAATCACTGTTAGATGTGCAAAAAAGGAGTTCTTTTGTTTTTTGCTTTGATTTTTGTCGGTTGTGGGGCTTGAAATCTGAGCTTGGGCTCTGTTCCTGCAGTCTTCAGCTCAAGGCTAGCACTCTACCACTTGAGCCACAGCGGCACTCCCGATTTTCTAGTGGTTTATTGGAGATAAGTGTCTCATCGACTTTCCTGCCCAGGCTGTCTTTGAACTGTGATCCTCAGATCTCAACCTCCTGAGTAGGTAGGATTACAGGCGTGAGCCACTGGCATCCAGCAGAAAAAGGAGTTCTTAGTTGGATTGAACAGTTGTCTCAAACTTTTCTCATACTTAAGAGACCATATGTAATTCTTATTGCAGAATATAACTAGTATGACTGAGTTCATTAAAGAGCTGAAATATCAATTTAATTTTAATGTATACCTTCAAGTAACTAGTAACTATTATACAAGACAGTGCAAGTAAGGATTATATTTAATAAGAATAAATATGGGAATAGAATTGTTAGTAGTCAGAAAAGAATAGCAACTGTAGGTAATGCTACAGTGTTTTCCCAATGGATTTCCTGACTCTGTTATTTCTACTAAGAGTATTTGTTATTATACATCCCTGTCAGCACTTACGTGGTTGGCTTTGGGAACTGTGGTTGACCTGGGAGGTTCTGTCTTTTGTGTTTCTCCCTCATTCATTCCTATGGTTTGCAACAGTGCATGCAGACAGTCTGTGGACAAAAGAGATAATTTGGATTGGCTCCCACACTCTATTTTAAGCTATTTGATCCCAATAAATCACAATACCTAAGAGCTAAAAAAAATACTGAAGGATAGTAAAGCAGACCTACCTAAGTTCATAAATAGAAAAAAATCAATATAGTAAAGGTGTCAATAATTTCCGAGTTCATGCAGAAATTCAATAAAGCTTCATTGTAATCCAAAACAAAACTTGCAATAGAACTTGAAAAATTATCATAAAATGTGTATATAAAGGCAAAAGATTTAAAAATTAGGTAGGGCATATCTGGGCACAATGGTTCATTCCTGTATCTCCAACCACTACTTAGCTAGGAGGATTACTGTCCAAAGTTGGACCCAGGCAAAAGGCATAAGACTGTATCTGAAAAACTTAACTAAAGGAAAAAGAGCTGGAGGTATGACTCAAGTGGTAGAATGAAATGGTCATCTACCTTAGAAAGAGAGAGCCCCTGTATTCAAAACCACAAAGAAAATTCCTTGGAATCATGAATTATCCATTTCCTTTTAAGTAAAGTTTGTGACATTCGCCTTCCTGCCAGCAACATGCTTATCACCTGGCATGAGGAAAGTTTTACTTGCTATGAAATATTATGTGTACTGTGTGTGTGTGAGAGAGAGAGAGAGAAAGTCATGGAGCTTGAACTCAGGGCCTGGGCGCTGTCCCTGACCTTTTGTTCAAGGCTAGCACTCTGCCACTTGAGCCACAGCTCTACTTCTGTTTTATTTCCGTGTATGTGGTACTGAGGAATCGAACTCAGGGCTTCATTCATGCAAGGCAAGCACTCTATCACTAAGCCATATTCCCAGCCCCTATATATAATTTTTATTTTTTAATATTTTTATTGTAAAGATACTATACAGACGGGTTATAGTTACATGAGTAAGGTAATGAGTACATTTCCTATTGAGCAGTGTTACCCACTCCTTTGTTTTTCTCCTACCATCCCTTCCCTCCCCACTTCCCCAACTCCTCCCCCCCAAGTTGTAAAGTTCTTTTTGTTTTCAACAGTGTCTTGTATGTCTCACTGTTACAATGGGTCAACCTGTATCCTTGTTTCAACATTTTGTTATTTCCCTTCCCCTCCCCAAATTATAAGAATGTATAGTAACAACAGGGGTTATACCATGGGGGAAAGACATAGAAAAGAAAAAAAAAAAACAGGGACAAAGATAAAATCTCTTGTGCCCCTATCTTGGGGTTCATTTCACTTAACATCATCTTATATGGTCATATGTACATAGCTTTTGACCTTTTCTGCTTTTATCCTAGACGTATACTAGTTATTGCAAATAAGGGAAATCATGGGACCTTTGTTTTTGGGGTCTGGCTTACTTAATATAATTTTTTCCAAATCTTTCCATTTCCTAACAAATGGCCCAGCCCCTATATTATCTATACTTTAAGAAATATATTTGTTGTTCCCAAAGCCAAGAGAATCTCTTGTGAATGTGCTTCCAGAACCAGACATGCTAAAAATGAGAATGCCCACTGACCTAGGATATCCTGGGAATGGAATAGACTGTCCATCAACATGCTCTCAGAGTCACCAGAGGTGTTTGACAGCTGTGCTAAGCAATGACACAGAGTGCAAAAGACAAAGACGTAAACCCAGCCAGGGCACTGTGCCACCACACAGAGATAAGTCAAGCCCTTTAACACCAGAGGCTGCTAAGGGTTTATTCCTCACTCTTAGCCAGATAAGCTGCCATCCACGCCTCACAGCACACTCATCTAGAAAGCAGCCAGGACGAACGACCAAGAGACGTGAACAAACACAATTATTTTGCTGGGGAAAATGTGCAGATCTCAAGTTGTTTTGACTTCATTTCCAAGAGAAGCCAGCAAGCACACACTCCCAGAATGCTGAGTTTTCCAAGCATGCCCACCCAAGCCCTATACTCACTCTTACTAATACCAGTCTCTTTGCACTCACTACCTGAGCCCCTCATTGTATAAATGAGCATTTATGTCCCCACTTTCCAAATGTATCTGAAGTTCAAAGGGTTACCTGAGTTGTCCCAAGCACATGGTTGAGGAAACTTCAAGTGACATTTGCCACTTCTCACTCTTCATTCTCAAAAGAGCCTTTGCTAGGCTTAGTCTATCAAGCTAGACTCAGAAACACTAGATGGAATGTGATATAAACCTGTGCCTATCTTATGGTTACACCATGTATTGGGCAAACAGGGCTTCTCCGTAGGGACTAATGCTGACAGTTTTTCTGAAGGCTGAATGAAGTCTCTGGTGACTTTAGATTTCTTAAGTCAGAAGAACAGGCACCACGAGTTCCCTTTTTCTTCTTCCTCCAACTCCTCTTTTTGTTTTAGTATGAAAAAAATGGTCCCTTTTGTTTTCAGAATTCAGTAATATGCATTTGGAAAGAACAGCACACATCGCACACATTCTTTCTTTGAGCAATCATTAATGCAACCTTGTCTATAATACCAAGAGAAACTACACTCATGGTAATGAACTTGGAAAAGTGTCCATTAAAAAATCATGGACAAAAAAAGTAATGTGCTTTCAAGAGTTAGCTCAGCCAAATGATTCTATGAATGCTGGGGCCACAGTCTAAGGTAGTATCACTGTGAAGAATACTGCAGCTGGACCTTGCTTCCCACTTCACAACCCATGAAGGCAACTTTGTAACTTAGAATCATCAACCACTTTCGAAGCTGAAAGGACTAGCAGATGTCAGCCATGGCTGGCCACAGGACACTGCAGGAAGAGAGAAGAAAGGAGACAGAAATAAATAAGACCTTCCTTATCAAGGAGCAGCCACTTTTCTGACTACTTTCTCTTAACAAGTTCAGAAAAGTGTATGCCAAAAGAGCTTCTTGTCTGTTGAGACAGACAGATGCACCAATCATTATGAAAATAGAGCTTGCTGTAGCTCACTCATCTTCGTGAAATGCCATCCACAGAACAAAAGCAAAAAGAAAAAACCTTAAAGCTTTAGGTAACCATCACTTATAAATAATGTTGAAATGGCAAATCTATTCACAGAAACAGCCTTCTGATTCCTAAACATTACGAATTAGTTCCACTGTCTTTAAACCCTTAGTGAACTGTCAAGGACATTTTTTCCTTTCTTTCCTTCAATGGAAAAAGGTCAAGATTCAAGAGTCAAATTCCATTGTAATCATGTGATGTCATAAGACAATAATTCTGCTTAAGCAATCCTTGAGCAATAGAAATATGTGACTGGATTCCCTTTTGTTGCTGTTTTTACTTCTGTACTTTTGTACATGTTTATCTGTTTGGAGGAGCAAAAGGGGGAACACAAAAATGATGGGACACAGGGTGAACTAAAGCAGCAGTGAC